ACGGGCATCTGTAGCTCCTAAAATAACAAAATTGCGAATTATGTTTAAGTGCAAACCTAAAGTATGTGCTAGGATGTATTTCCGAAAAGTAGTTTAACATCAATAGGGTGGTTTAAAAAAGAGAGAGTGGATCAGGATGATTTTTTTTAAATAAAAAAAACCTATATATTATTGCATTTTTGGCTTCCTTTCAGATCATTTTACGTAATTCTTAGATATAGGTAAATATATTTCGATAGTTTCAGGGATATTAATAAATAAATAAAATATATATGTTTTTCAGTCTTAAAAAATTATTACAAATACAAGAACTGTTCTGAAATCAAAACTATATATTAGATATTTACTTTAGATGGTCTATACTCTATACCAAAGAATATTATAGTTTTAAGAACTCTCGTGTGGAAGTTTTAGTGATTTGTCACACGGTGGCGCTTTTGAACATAATCGAAGCCTGAAAATGCTAATATTTTAAATTTTGAGGACTACGCGCCGCGATATTTCGTACGGTGTTGCCAAAACATATTTTATTTCTCGATATTAAAGAAATATGTATTGATTATATATTTCGTATTCGTTGTACATGAGGCATCCTGGCTATAAAAACGTAGCTATGAAAATAAAATTTTAGATTTTTAATTTTTTTGTACCTTCTAATAAAAATTACTTCTATTCCAATAAAAAATTAACTAGTATGATTATGTGTCATCTGTGCTAGTATTAGGAAACTGGAGTAAATACGGAGAATATTAATTCGTTCTCTAAGATGAGCACTACTAAGTAATTTTTTAAAATTCGACCCATAAGGGGGTGTAATTAGATAAAGGGGTGTAATTATACAAAAAAATCTGTACCTACTAGGAGTATGAACTTTTGCACAGATTTGGCGCATTTGAACATTGATAAGCGATTGTGGATGTATAGCCTAAGGGTAGTGAAACTGGGGGGTGAAATTTTGTACAAAAAATGTTAGTTCTAGGAGTATGAAATTTTGTACAGAGTTTCCTTAAGTGACGAAAGTGAGTACCCAGAAGGTAATTTTTGACATTCATCAATAAGACATTTGACATTTGAAATAAGGGATGAAAATTTGTACAAAAGTTTGTTACAATCGGTTTTAGAAGTATGAATTTTGCAGACGTTCCTTATGTAACGTAATTTAGCACTAAGAAGCCATTTTTGGAAATTCGCCCTCTAAGGGTGTGAAATGAGGGTGTGAACGTTCTGACACAATTCTGTTGAAGGAATATGAAAATTTGCACAGAGGTTCCTTATGTAGCGTAATTGAATAATTAGAGTGATTTTTGGAATTCATTCCTTAAGGGGGTAAAACTAGGGGTGAAAACTTGTATAATTTTTTATGTAAAATCCGTTCTAGGACTAGGAGTATGAAATTCTGTTCAGAGGTCCCTTAAATGATGAAAGTGAGTACCTAGAAGCGAATTTTAGGCATGCATCCCCTAAAAAATAAGGGATGAAAATTTGTACAAAAATGTAAATTTTAAATAGTGTTGGGGATATACAGCAACCTCTATCACTAAAGGGCTCCGACAGGGTTGTTGTATTTTTTAATGCCAAATAAAAAAAATTAAAATATTTTTTTTTCAAAAAATAAAAAAAATGGGGGTGGGCTACCCTTATGACTTAAGGGTATAAAAAATATATAACAACCTATTTTCAGACCTACTCAATATACATATAAAATTTCATCAAAATCGGCCAAGCCGTTTCTGAGATGGTAACAAAAATTCTGCTATCATCCCCTATTAAAAATAGGGGATGATAGCAGAACGGTGAAAATTTAGGGTTGTTTGTATTTCTTAATGCCAAATAAAAAAATAAAAACATTTTTTTCTTTTCAAAAACTAAAAAAAAATGATGGTGGGCTTCTCTCTCTCTCGGCTACCCTTATCAGTTAAGGGTATAAAAATAGATAACAACCTATTCTTAGACGTACTGAATATACATATAAAATTTTATCAACATCGGTTAAGCCGTTTCGGAGATGGTAACAAAAAATTAAAAAAACAACCCCTATTAAAAAATAGGGGATGAAGGTAGAACGGTGAAAATTTAGTGTTGTTTGTATTTTTTAATGCCAAATAAAAACAATAATTTTTTTTTTCACAAAATAAAAAAATGGGGGTGGACTACTCTTATCACTTAAGGGTACAAAAAATATATAACTACCTATTCTCAGACCTACTGAATATACATATAAAATTTCATCAAAATCGGTTAAGCCGTTCCGGAGGAGTACGGTAACCAAAACTGTAACACGGAAATTATATAGATAATATTATGTGAAAACTGCGGAGTGCGGAGAGCGGAAAGCGGAAAGACTGATTATAGCAATAGATGAAATTTAAAACTATAATTTAAAACTATTCAAGAAAGTACACACAAAACAAGGCAACGCCGCGCGTCTATTCGTTCAATTCCTAGCAAAATAGCGAGGCCCTAAGGTCAGTCAAGTTTGCCCCCCGTATTAGAGGAAATTCAAAAATAAATATACCACTATTTTGCACACATTTTGCACAATTTTGCACACCATAAATGATATTTTGCACACTTACCTAAGAGAAACCAGGGCCGCTTTTTAAACGGGGGGCAAACTTGACCGTTCCCCCCACTTGTAGCCCCCCACGGCTAATTTTGCACAATTTTGCACACCTGTTTTTGAATTTTGCACACCCTTCTGACGAAAGTTATAAGCGGTTGAAAATTTGAAATTTCTCCCCCATCTGTGACTAAATTGAATTTTGTTTATATCAAACGAATCGGCTAATTTTGCACAATTTTGCACACCTGTTTTTGAATTTTGCACACCCTTCTGACGAAAGTTATAAGCGGTTGAAAATTTGAAATTTCTCCCCCATCTGTGACTAAATTGAATTTTGTTTATATCAAACGAATCGGCTAATTTTGCACAATTTTGCACACCTGTTTTTGAATTTTGCACACCCTTCGGACGAAAGTTATAAGCGGTTGAAAATTTGAAATTTCCCCCCTATCTGTGACTAAATTGAATTTTGTGTATATCAGACGAATCGGCTAAATTTGCACAATTTTGCACACCTGTTTTTGAATTTTGCACACCATCCTGATTAAAGTTATGAAGGTTTGAAAATTTGCAATTTCCCCCCCATCTGTCACGAAATTGAATTTTGTGTATATCAAACGAATCGGCTAATTTTGCACAATTTTGCACACCTGTTTTTGAATTTTGCACACCCTTCTGACGAAAGTTATAAGCGGTTGAAAATTTGAAATTTTCCCCCCATCTGTGACTAAATTGAATTTTGTTTATATCAAACGAATCGGCTAATTTTGCACAATTTTGCACACCTGTTTTTGAATTTTGCACACCCTTCGGACGAAAGTTATAAGCGGTTGAAAATTTGAAATTTCCCCCCTATCTGTGACTAAATTGAATTTTGTTTATATCAAACGAATCGGCTAATTTTGCACAATTTTGCACACCTGTTTTTGAATTTTGCACCTCATCCTGATTAAAGTTATGAAGGTTTGAAAATTTGCAATTTCCCCCATCTGTCACGAAATTGAATTTTGTGTATATCAGACGAATCGGCTAATTTTACACAATTTTGCACTCCTATTTTTGAATTTTGCACACCATCCTGATTAAAGTTATGAAGGTTTGAAAATTTGCAATTTCCCCCCCATCTGTGACGAAATTGAATTTTGTGTATATCAAACGAATTGGCTAATTTTGCACAATTTTGCACAGCTATTTTCGAACTTTGCTCACTCTCCTGACAAAAGTTATAAGAGTTTGAATATTTGAACTTTGTCCCATTGTGTGTGAAATGTTCCACTTAAAAATACATAAGTATGAGTATATTTCGAAAATGATAGATCTTAGCGACGTGAAAAGCTGCACGGAACTTAGATTTCACCTTTTCGATAATTTATAGCTTGCATAGAACATTTATGAAACTAAAGATTCTACACACAGATTTGTCCTAGCCCTCTTACTTCTTGAAATATCTGGCAAATTTGAAAATTTTGCATTTTTTGACAACCCTTATATCTCGGTTATCCTATAACTTATCGAAAAGGTGAAGTCTGGGTTCCAGTTTTCCACGTCGCGTCGCTGAGATCTGTCATTTTCAAATATGACTCATACTTGACTATGTTTTTTAAATGAGACAATTCACACACAATGGGACAAATTTCAAATATTCAAACCCTTATAACTTTTGTCTGGAGAGTGAACAAAATTCGAAAGTAGCTGTGCAAAATTGTGCAAAATTAGCCGATTCGTTTGATGTAAACGAAATTCAATTTCGTAGCAGATGGGGGGGAAATTGCAAATTTTCAACCGCTTATAACTTTCGTCAGAAGGGTGTGCAAAATTCAAAAACAGGTGTGCAAAATTGTGCAAAATTAGCCGATTCGTTTGATATACACAAAATTCAATTTCGTGACAGATGGGGGGGAAATTGCAAATTTTCAAACCTTCAAAACTTTAATCAGGATGGTGTGCAAAATTCAAAAACAGGTGTGCAAAATTGTGCAAAATTAGCCCATTCGTTTGATATAAACAAAATTCAATTTAGTCACAGATGGGGGGGGGAAATTTCAAATTTTCAACCCCTTATAACTTTCGTCAGGAGGGTGTGCAAAATTTAAAAATAGGTGTGCAAAATTGTGCAAAATTAGCCGAATCGATGTACATAGAAATAAATCAATTTCGTAACAAATGGGGGGGAACGGTTCAAGTTTGCCCCCCGTTTAAAAAACGGCTCTAGTTTCTCTTAGGTAAGTGTGCAAAATATCATTTAAGGTGTGCAAAATTGTGCAAAATAGTGGTATATCTCTTTTTCAATTTTTTCTAGTACGGGGGGCAAACTTGACCGACCTGAGGCTCCACGAAGTTGGGGCCTCGCTCGTCAAAGCGAGGCCCCATCGACAGGTCAGATTTTGATGCGAGACGAGACTTCTAGGGTATTAAGATATTCTTTGTCTATACTTACATTTTACTTTATACCCATATCTGATGAGCACCCAATTTTATCACAAGCACAAGATTTTATAAAAGCGGCGTCCCTGCAATAAAATTTATATTTCTCGCTCTTTTTCGATATTTTTTCTTTCTAAAATACGATATGCATTTTTTTTCGAGGTACTTATCTTATTCGATGTTTAACTATCAGTTAGTTTTTAAATCGTTTATCGCAAATATCCCTATTACTGATTGGGATATTTGCTGATTGATAATTTACGTACACGGGGGAAACAAGTCTCGAAAATATAGTAAAAATTACAATATTTTAGTAAATTTTACTAAACGTTTTGGAATATTTGAGTCTAAATATAGTAAAAATTACAATATTTTAGTAAAATTTACTAACAGAAAGGAATAAGTTCATTTTATGTTGTAAATATTCCAAAACGTTTAGTAAAATTTACTAAAATATTGTAATTTTTACTATATTTTCGAGACTCGTTTTCTCCGTGTACTCGTAATATTCATATCTCCTAAAGTAATTATTAGGTAGATATGAAAATAAAGGGCAAAACTCCGATGCATAAGCAGCATAATTTAATAGATTAAAATAGTGGAAGAGTTTACAACAAACAAATCATGCACAAGAGTACGTATATTAAGTTAGTGTTTGCGTTCCTCTTTACGGTTTTCATAATTCAGTGTTTCGTTTATGTCAAGTCTATAAGTTTTTATAAACGTTATCATAAATATTATCCCGAAAAAAATGAAGTGTACTGCCACTTTCTGCCTGTCTTTGATACACTTCCCAGTGTAAAAGGTGAGATATTAATGTTAACATAACAGCTGCTATGAAAACACAAATTTTTAGACGAAGATATAGTAAAAGACAAATCGATTTTCTTTTTGGAAACTTCTTGTAATTCGTATCATAGCGAGAAAATTTTAATTAATGGTCGACAGGCCTGTGCTGTAGAAAGTGCGGCTAGGATGAACCCAAACAGAACTGTATATTTGTTTTACGCATCTCCAGGTAAGTAAACTAAACGCAAAACATTTTCCGATGCACGTCATCAATCATATCGAAATTGACACTAAACCCTATAAACCTGTCTAAATGAAATTTTGCCAAAAATGTTTAAATTTGTTGTATAGTTTAAGTTACCGAGCAGCTCTTCATTTTACTTTATATAGAGTAAATTATTGTAACAGATATTTTATTTAGATTAAAACTGCAAACATTAGTTTAAACCGAATTTTATTATTTGACAATTATCATAATGTCAGTGAGTAATCTTTGTGAGTAATTCTCGTTTTTTTGTCGATTTTCATAGTCTTTTTTTGAAATCTGTACTTCTAAACACAAACAGTTCTTTTAAGAACTAAATTTTCGAGTTTTTGTAATGCATTTCTTGAAATTGTGTGTTGAAAATATGCCGGAGCATTTAAAGAGTCGAAGCAAAGAGCTTGTAGCTTCCCTGATAAACTACGTATTTTGAACGAGAACGTGAGAATAAAGGTCTTTTATTACCCTTGACTGCAGTCAGAGAAGTACTAAGTTTGATTGGTAAGCACATTATACCACTTTCAAAGTTATTTCTACCTTAGTTTTTAGTAAATTCTGTGATTATTAGTTTGTGCATTAATAGCACCCTCTTATTTGTTATTACCACTTGTGGTGTTGTAAAATGTACACCAATAAATAAATAAATATATACTACCTAAAACTTTTTTATTTTTCAGTTAAAAAAACGAGATTTGAGTGACGTATTCACTTGTTTTTAATCACTTCCTGTTTCGCCGGAAATGACTAAAACTTAATTTTTAAATGGCACCCTCGGTATTTTTTTACTTTATTCGATAGAAAATGACATTCTGAATAGAGTGACATTTTTGATATATTTGCATATGGTTTATTTGAAATTATACCTTGCGGTTTGTAACGAAAATTTGACTCGAAATACCAAGTGTGTGGTATCAAATTATTCGTGAAAAAATGCTTTTTCCAAATATGCTAATGAGCCACCCTCGTTCCATTTGAAAAAATTGAGATATGATTAAAAATACGATTTGAGCATTTTCTAACTGGCCAGGACAAGACACTAAAAACATGAGAGGCTCAAATCTATTTTTCGAAGAATTATTGTTATTAACATAGCCATGGCACTCTAGATTGAATTTTAAAATACGATTTTTTATTAAGCGAGAATGTTAAAAGTTGACATATGATATGTCATTCTGTTCAGAATGTCATTTTCTATCGAATAAAGTAAAAAAATACCGAGGGGGCCATTTAAAAATCAAAAGTTGTAGTCATTTCCGGTAAAACAGGAAGTGACCAAAAACAATTGAATACGTCAATCAATCCTAGTTTATGTCATATACTAACACACCAAATCTCCTTTTTTTATCTGAAAAAATAAAAAAGTTATAGTTGTGAGCCACTTTTGAGACGCACCCGGTATATATATACATAATCAAAAACCTTTCTACCCGAAGGTGTAAGGTATACTAAATTAAATAAATTCACTTAATTGCTACACTATACACAAATTGTTTCCATTTATTTTTGTCTCTTGCTAAACTTTTGGCTTCTGTTAATGTTAGTCCTCTATCCTGCACTATCTTCTCTACTATGTCATTCCATGTTTTAGTTGGTCTTCCCCTTGGTCTCTTTCCCTGCATTTTAGCTTCCCACACGCCTTTTACTGGTATGTCGTTGTTCATTCTGATCAAATGTCCGTACCACCTAAGCTGACATTGCTCAATTTTATTCAGGATCGAGTCTACTTGTAGTTCCTCTCTTATAAAGCTGTTTCTTAGTCTATCTTTCCTTGTTACCCCAAGTACTCTTCGTAGATATAACATCTCCATTCTTTGAATCTTACTCTTCAATTTTTTAGTTAATACCCAACTTTCACAGCCAAAAATCAATGTCAGTATGAATATAATTCTTGTATACACTCATCTTCACTGCTCTCAAGATTTCTTTTTTATTTAAGAAACTTTTCTTAATGGCTTGATACAAGCGGGACGTGTTGCCAATTCTTTCGATGATTTCCATCTCTTGTTCTCCTGTGCTACTGATGTTCACTCTCAAATATTTGTATGAATCGACTTGTTCCAAATTGATGTCATTTATCTCTATATTCACATTGACTTCTGTTTTACCTAAAATCATAACTTTTGTTTTAATCTCATTGATTTTTAAATTTCTCTCTCCAAGAGCTTCCAGCCATATTTCTAAATTTCTTTTCAGTTCTTTTTCGCTGTTAGCCAAAATTGCCAAGTCATCTGCAAATGCACATTCTTTTATCCAAATTGGTTGTAGATGACCGGCGTATACTCTTGTAACAGCTGCACTTGTATTATTTATTATGTCTCATCTATAACTAAATTAAACAGTGCCGGGCTGAGGACTCCACCTTGTTTCAGCCCTTCATTTACGGTAAAAATATCCGAAACCACATTGTCTATTCTTACATAGTTCCTTGTGTTTTTGTATAAACACATTAGGGCACTCTTCAGCTTTGAATGGACATTCCTTTTCTTTAGACTATTGCACACGACTTGTCTAGGAACCCTATCGAAAGCTTTTTCGATATCTACGAATGCTACATATATATTTTTCCCCGTTACTTTTATTCTTTCTGTCATTTGTTTGAGCGTGAATATATGGTCCTGCACACTTCTTCCCTTTCTGAAACCACTCTGTGCTTGATCGAGTAGTTCATCTGTGTCCCCCTTTAATCGTTGTTCCAGAATTCTTTCAAACACCTTCGATGGTATGCTAAGCAAAGTTGATGCCTCTATAGTTTGCACATGTTGTTTTATCACCTTTCTTGAATATAGGCAAAATAATTCCCAATTCCCAGTCTCGGGGTACCTCCTCTTCATTTATAATTTTATTGAGCAAATCAGTGAAAACAGTGACAGCACTTTCCCTTAAATTCTTCAACATTTCTCCTGTTATATTGTCATGACCCGCATAAATAAATAAATAACTCATAATAACGCTTAGAATAACCTTCATAATGGACTAGTTTTTTGCCAATATGTAATAAGTAATCTCATAAATGCATCACAATCTGGCATCGCTGTCGTCATCGCTTGTCACTCAAAATTGATCACGTGCATCGGAAATTGTTTTGCGCTTACTATATTTAATCTTTTTTTGCTCTTGCAATAAATGTATGTTATTTATTCATTATAACAACGAATGAATGTGTAGTTTTGTCAATATGTTTTATAATAACGTTCTTTTTAAAATTATAGTTATTATTATTATTTTATTACTTACATTTTTGATTATACAATACTTACGATATTTGATTATATCATTTAGGGGTATTTCAAGATGACCAAAGCGAATCAGATGGACTAATCAGGAACTTAATGTCGTACTCTAACATAAAGTTACAATATCTTAATATCAAGAAGTTCGTTCAAGGTACTCCTGTTGAAAAGCTCTGGACTGACGAGAAAATATATAAATCGAAATATGTTTTACCGCATATGAGTGATATCTTAAGGTAAGGAGGTGATATGAAGTTTTCTTGAACCATTTCTTAACTATAAATAATTCATCTTTTCTTGGATTGAAAGAAGTTCGTTAATAAAATAAATTTAGTTTCCTTTAAAACATCTTAACGTTTCGCCTTTAATATTGGGCATCTTCAAAAATTTTTATTGTTTAAAATAAATTATAAAACACAATATCGAAATGAACATTTAAAACATCAATACAACAAATAAACTATACGGGTGCGTCTTAAAAATGGCTTACCTATACCCTATAACTTTTTTACTTTTTCAGATAAAAAAACGAGATTTGGTATGTTACTATATGACATAAATTGGGATTAATTGAAGTATTCAATTGTTTTTGGTCACTTGGCAAAATGGTTATCAAGGGAGTTCGAAAATTTACCTGATCATGAACCTTCTTTCGCAGTTAAAAATAATATTGAATTCATTAACAAAATTAAAGATATAACATTGCATGAAGGTGAAATTTTGGTCTCCTTTGATGTATCTTCGTTGTTCCCAAGTGTTCCAATTCCACATACTTTAGGCTACTTGAAGGAATTACTGAACGCAAATGGTCTCGACAACAAAACTGTGACTGAATATATTGAGCTTACATCGTTATGTATGAAACAAAATTGTTTTCAATTTAATAACAACTTTTTTGAACTGCGGGAACGTACAGCAATGGGTAATCCATTGTCTCCATTTTTGGCTAATTTATTCATGAGTAGGTTTGAAGTGGAGGCTAGGAATCAGTTTGAATATTTTCCAAGAGTATGGTTTAGGTATGTGGATGATATTTTTGCTGTTTTTTGACACACATTCAGACACCATAGATAATTTATCTGATATATTTCTAAGTTAAATAATCGTTTTCCTTCCATTAAATTTACGCATGAAATTGAGAACAATGACATATTACCATTTCTAGATGTATTAGTTATTAGAAATGCTAATAATTGCCTGGAATTTGATATCTATAGGAAAAATACGACCACACGAAGATATATTCCTAATGAATCACATCATAGTGTTGAACACTATGGTGGATAAATTAATTAGAAAACGTAGGTATAGGTTAATGATTTCTGAAAATTCGACTTTTCAAGTGGAGAAAGATACGTCTAAATATTTTTCGATACCGTTTGATAGAGAGTTAACCCGGGGTCTAAAAGGAATTTTTAAGAATGTCAATTATAAACTTGTGTATAGTGCTAATAATAAATTACAACAATTATTAGGTAATCCAAAGAATAAAACACCTCCACTGGAAAGGTCGGGTATTTATGAAATTTCTTGTAAAGATTGTAATCAGAAATATGTTAGGCAAACTAGAAGATCAATATTAACTAGATTTAAAGAACATTTAGCTCAGATAAGATATGGTAGACCGGATAAATCTTGCGTTGCGGAACATATTGTTGATAAAGAACATTGTATAGATCTTAATAATTTAAGATTAATTAAACAAGTCTCAAATTACAGGCAATTAGATGCATATGAAAGCATCAGAATTAATAAATGTAAAGATAGTATGAACAGAGACAACGGTCCAATTCCTTCAAGTTCTTTGTTCCTACTACTCTAGTGGCGGAAATCTAACTGTTACGCTCAGTTGGCTCTGACTCGGTTGGCTAGTTTTTGCCACGCCCACTCGGTGCCCACTGGGCGAGTATATAAACGCTCAACTTGTAGATTGTACTTTAGTTTATAATCATCTGCTGATGATGCTAACATGATTAGCGAAACGCGCGTCCAGTGTAAAAGTAAAAGTGTTTTGGTGTATTGTGGTGATTTAGTGTTTTTATTTTGCTGTTTAACACCAAAGGTTCCAACCCTCAACTGTAATTTTCTGTTGTTCTTTTAAAAGAAAACATCCTTATTTTCTTGTTTGTTTTTTCAGATATCTAACACTGTGGAAATATGGAGGAATATATATCGATCTCGACGTGATAGTAACAAAAAATTTGGATCCTCTTGGAACAAACTTTGCTGGGGCTCAAGATGCAGATTCCCTAAACAGTGCCCTGATAGGGTTTAGTAGTAGAGGTAAAGGGCATCAGTATGCCAATGATTGCGTTCACGATTTGGCTGAAAACTTTAACGGAGATGTTTGGGGCGCAAATGGTCCTCACATTATCACAAAGTAAGCACACAGTCAAACTTACTTATACCACGTCTGTAAAACTACACATAAATTCTAGAAGGGTATGACAGAATAAAATGAAAATCACAGTCGTCCTATGTGTTTAAACGTTTTTAACACCTTATACAAGATCTCCCATCTTTGCCGGCCGGATATCTCCGTTGTTGAAGATCGTGATTTTCGCGAACGTTGTCTATACATTTTTGTGGAACTTAACGATACCGCAACCAAAATTGTCTTATTCTGACTTGACACTTCGTATATTTATTATTTTATGGTTACAGATACGGGGTAAAAATATTGCGTTTTGTGTTTTATGTTATCCTTATCCAGTGGTGTAGTTAGATTTTTGCTACGAATTGATATTACTTCAATAATACCACAAATATTACTTAAAGTAATAAAAATTTAAAGAAATTTTTTAAAAATTTTCTAATATTCACAAAAATAATTATATTTTAAGTATTATGCCGGGTCTCCACCAAAGCAACATATGTCGACGACATTGTCATCAATTTTTGTTACTATTTTCATAAATATTGTCGAGAAATGTAGATCGTACCTACCAAAGAAATATTGTTGCTCGACTTCATTTTTCGACTAAAGAGCGAAAGTTTATTTAGTGTTTATCAACATGTGGAACGACGAGGATGTAATCATAATCTTAGCCGAAGTAGTTTCAAGAATTTTCTATGAATGAGTTCAGCTGACTTTGAATCATTGCTCCAAATTATTGGTCCCAGGATTTGTAAAATGGACACAAATTATCGAAATGCAATTCCTGTCCAGGAGCGTCTGGCTATTACGCTTAGATTTTTGGCTTCTGGGGATTCATATACTAGTCTTGGTTATCTTTTCAAATGTGGAAAGCAGACGATTTTTTCTCTCAACTTCCACCCTCTCCACTTCTAAACTAGTTGCAATACCATTCCAGGCATCATACTTTCTATTTCTGTTCTTATACTAAATATGCTTAAGTGTCCCAAAATTCGGGGTGGGCTTGATATTTTTCAATCGGATTTCTTGTTTTATCATTGCTCCACTCCATACCAAATTTATTTTTAGCAACAGAATCGAAAACAAATTTCTGGCCTTGTGAACTACACGAGTACAAATGGCAAAATATACCCGATAAAATTACTGATAGGAGTTGATTCGGTGGAGACGTCTTTCGCCATGTTTGTAAAAACATTGTCGTCGACACGATTTTTTTTTGATGTACCGCTCCTCAAGCGAAACATGAAACAAAGTCGGCGACTTAAATCTGCGACATAAAATGTCGACGACTTTACTTACGATAGGAGTTGATTCGGTGAAAACGTCTTTCGACATGTTTGTAAAAACATTGCCGTCGACACGATTTTTTTTGATGTACCGCTCCTCAAGCGAAACATGAAACAAAGTCGGCGACTTAAATCTGCGACATAAAATGTCGACGACTTTACTTACGATAGGAGTTGATTCGGTGAAGACGTCTTTCGACATGTTTGTAAAAACATTGTCGTCGACACGATTTTTTTTGATGTAGCGCTCCTCAAGCGAAACATGAAACAAAGTCGGCGACTTAAATCTGCGACATAAAATGTCGACGACTTTACTGAATTTTCAGCAACATTGTCGACAACACTAGTCGGCGACACAGTCGCCGACAAATGTTGCTTTGGTGGAGACCCGGCTTTACAGACGTGACATTGTAATGGCTTATCTTAAAAACAACGGATATATCCCGCAAGGACGGCGAAAATGTGACACACTGTACTATATATATGTTACAGTGAAAGTCGGAAATTCAGTGATTGTTAGCATTCACTAGGAAATGCTAACCAATTACGCATTGGACCAGTAAATGTGGTATATTAAAGAGATTTGTCGACTTTTCCTAGTAATTTCTAACATTCACTAGTGAAAGTAACATTTACTAAAGGTTGCCAGTAAAAGTTATTCTATTGCACAGGGCGAGTGTGTATGAGGAAGAATGTTGGTAGAAGTTATTATAAATAAAACTTTTAAAAATATTGGATCACCTCAGTATTCAAGCTGATCTACATATCTTAAAATTACAATTTACTTCTTTAGTATATTTATTAAAAATTATAGAAAATAACGACATAACCTTCTAAATATTAAAAGAGAAAACATAGTAAACGTTTTAAAGCGTACAAAACAATTCAAAAAAACATTCATAAGCATAAGATTAAACATTAATAAACATAAGAGTTTTTTTTTCATAAGAGAAGTTCTTCATCATGGACAAAATAAATGATGCCCGAATTTTCTTCAACGGGAGTTATTCGCCTTTTCCAACCCGGTACTTCAAGCACATCAAAACGTTTAATAAGTGCATGGTCACTAGGTTCCTTAAAATATATTTTTCTCTTGCATGCTTAGCTTTTGCTATGACTTCATTATATTGCAAAAATGAAAAACAAATTCTCTCATATTCTTGCGAGTGCCTAGTTTACCTTAATTTTTCATAGAAAATTTCTTCCATAGGGAAAATACCGCACAGCACTTTTTACAACGATAACAAAACAATTATACGTTGCCATCGTTTAGCCCAATTTAATGTTAAACTTTGGTTATACTGCCTATTATCACAGAATATCTAGCTACGCAACAGAAGCCTCGTTACATGTATAAAATTGTAGGTAGCAAAAGGAGACAGGCTTTAAAAGTCTGTCTCCAAATCAGATATTTTGATGTGGTAGTTTCGCTACTACATAATAGGGGGCAATAAATTTAAAAGAAAACAGTTTTCTACAAACAAAACTTGGTTTCAAAAATAGCTGTTGAACTTTTACTGGCGTAGTCTTAGCAAATCAGTGAATGTGAGCTTTTACTAGTAATTGTTAACTATCACTGATTTTCAACTTTACTGTAACATATACAATTTAAAATTACGTTGGTATAACATTGTTCTTCCAGGTTAGCTAGTAAACTTTGCGGTGGCGATGTGAAAGATTTTTTCGGCAAATGGTGTTCGCATTTCCATATATACACAGTAGACGTATTTTACGCTGTTCCTTTTCTTAGCTGGCAAGATTTCTTCGACAACAATCAACTAGATACTATCAAGAATAAGACGAAAAATAGTTACATAATTCATCTATGGAATAAATTATCTTTCGAAAGAAAAATTCCCGTCTATGACGATGTACCTTACTTGGATTTTGCTCGGAAGTTTTGTCCGGGAACTGTTAGATATCTTGAGGAGTATTTTTAAAGATCAAATTATACAGTGTGTGGGCACTATGTGTGCATATTTGAAGTGAAACTTCTTACCAGCAGCTACTAAATTGGAGGATTTGTAGGACATATTTGAAAAAGTGACATATGATGCTGTTTTAATATAAATATTATTTTCAATTTTTTCCCCAACTAGCATTTATAGTTGCAGATACGTAACTGCTACTATCAAAGCCACTACAAAGTGGGGCGGCTGCGTCGTATATTCGTAGCTGCTACGTAACTGCGACGAAAATGGGGAAAGATTTTGAGTAGCCGGGTAGTGTCTGGGGTAGTTTTTGCCACTAAAAGAGTTACTATGATGTGTTACTGTAAATGGCCTACTGGTGAATGCGACTTATCCGTTACGAAACTGCCTAGTCGCGGGTTCGTGGCAGCCAAGTGTTAGCCACCGACATGTGGAACTTTCGTTAAACTGTTGAACTTGATTCACAGCGACCTCTTCATGCAATTTCACATTTCATAAAAATAAATGTCATGATGGAAAATAATTATGGAAGCCATTATTATTTTTTCGTTATTTGTTATTTACCGTGCGATTTTAACGCCCATTTTTAGGTAAATTCCAGAAGGCAATTAACTTTACTGATTAAAATAGTGGGTTTATATAACAAAATTTTCGAGCGCCTCTCGAAATATTTCAAGTTATTATATTATTTGCAATAGAAACTCATGTTTGTAATTAAAAAATAATAATAATTTGCTTGAAACCGGGGTCAAACTTTAAAATATTAGTCCACCGTCAGAAACAACAAAATAACTAAGGAAAAAAGCTTTAATCTAGGTATATTTAGCTTAAAACGCATAATGTTTGAGCCATTTGGCTGTTCGTCTAAAAATTCATGAAAAAATATGGCCGTTTAATCCGAAAAATACTTTATAGTTCCATGTGCTTCCACAAAGTACCGGGAACAATAACATATTAGGCCAACCCTACCTGTTTGGACCTTTAAAATCTTCGGATTGATAAAGTGACAATTGTAGCTATCCATAGGCGACTTTATAGAAACAATAACTTTTTTGGAACTACATGGTCAACGATTCTTTGGAACCATAAAGTGATTCTTCCAAGTTGCTACACCGATCGCGGTGGTGGCGACTATACATTGGTGCTACTATAACGTTCCGCCTTGTCCTTTGAAGTTATTTTTTACTTATTGTGCATTTTCTATTATTAGTGTTTCTATATTATTCAGAGCTACATAAGGTATAGAGTATTTTAACGCCCACTCTTTTAGCTCTTGTTTTATATTGTTGTTGGTTCTCAAATTAGTTCTCCTCTGATATTCAGTTTCAGATGAACTAACACTACACTCATCTACAGAAACATCTTCAAAAATGTCTCAGTCACTACCTGATTTATGATGTTCATCAGTAGGACTATAGAAAGATGAAAGATGTAGTTTTTGTTTCTGATGTTGATGCATCGGCTCGCAGTGGTTCCTTTTGTTTAATTCTTCGGTAGAAAGTACAAGAATATCTAAATTTCTTTTTATTCACCTTAGGGATTTTACAACATTTTAAAAAGCTTAAAAGCAAGTAAAAGAAAACACTAAAACAGAGCAGCACACGATGCAATATGAGGCAATTACATTTATTAGCGTATATTAGGTAAGTTACGGTCACTATAAAGTAGCCGTTTTTGACCCCCGTGACTTTTTAGTGGTAATGGATGAGCGACAGCTATTTTATAGTGACCTAGGAAGGTAGCAGTAACCATTTTGATACTTTCAATGCTACTATAAATTAGAAGTAACTTGGTGTCGTGGCCGCGACTACCCCGTAACTTAAATTGTTACTATAAAGTAACAAAAAACTTAATGGAGGCATTATGGTAGCACTTGTTGGTAACCCCTACTTTAAAAAGTTACTATAAAGTTTTTGGTCTTTTATGGTGTCATATTCGAAGATTCGGGTAGTTCCAGCCACTTCTTTAAATTACATGTATGCGACTTGCAATCTGGATGTTTATTTTCCACTTTTATGGTAGGTAGGGACTAACCGGTCACTCTCGAAATATACTTCAAAGTAACTATTCCTTATAGAGTAACATTTTAAGTGGCAGAGTGGGTCTAGGAACTATGCTTTAGGGGCAGTGACATTTTAAAAGGACTGGGAACTATATTTGCTAGTTGGGTCGGTAATCTGTACACTTTCTGTTTCCTCAACAGCCTGCAAGTTTTGTGGAATACCACCCAAAATACACACTTTTATGCAAATGCCTAATAATATTAAGGCTTAAATTTATTTAAGAAGAGAAAAAATTTTGAACCTAACCAATAATTCGTATTTATAGTGGTTTATAGTAATTTTGTTTAATTTTACGAATCTTCTCGTTAATTGAAGCATTCCCTCGAATAAGGGTTTATGTTAAAAAAATACTGTAATTTTCCAGATGTTGGGATTTTTCCACAAAAAGGGTCTATGTAGACAAGTTCATCCTTTTACAGTAATAAATACCCGATAATGTGCTTAATCATCTATGAACAACCTGGTTGCCTGCAATAAGAGTTTATATTACATTTCACATAAACCCTTATTCCCTGGACTCAAGAGTTTATTACATATATCTCTAATACTGGTTTATTATTATTTGTGTTGTGCAACTTTTTATATGTGAGGATTAATAAAGTTGATATTAGTACCACTTGAATATGATTATCAATACGCAAACATACAGGATATTTTTTATGGCGTTTTATGGCATTTATATCTCCAAGAACAGCAGATACCAGTTAGTACTTTATCGATTTTTCATAAGTAAAGAGAATGTTGAACAAGAAATCAAGAATATCCCGGAAATGTGAACATAAAGAATGAGAATCTTAAGATAGATGAATAACGTTATAACGGTAACGGATGTATTTACGATATATTTCGAGAAATCTAATTTATCCCGCAAAATACCGTATTTATTACGTTACCGTATTTACTTAACGTTACAGGCACGAGAACTTCCTACTTACATTTTTTAATACCGTATCATAAGGTATATGCTTACTAGCACAAGCACAACAACTAAAACTATTATTTCGGTCTTTCCGATATTCCTGTCTTACAGTCCAACCGGTCTTCCGGTCCAGCCGGTATACCGGTTCAGTATCGGTACCACCTGTAGAGTTTAAAATTGTCCCACCCATTTAGATGTCTTTGATCCCAACAATCTAATTGTTGGAACCGGTATACCGGTTGTAGGACCGGTACTTCGTGATACCGGATACCAATACTGAAATCTTAGGACCGAACATCCCTACTTTCTACAAATCTTTCCCAAAACCATGATGCAGTTGTGGCCCAGCTGATTGATATCTGCAAGTCTCTCTCTTACAACTTATCTGGGGGAAAATCTAGCAATTTTGGTTTTTCCAAGGAAAAAAATTGTCACTAGATCTAAATTACTATTTATTTTTATCTGAAAATAAATAGTATTTTGATATTTATAATTAATTAATTGATTATAAATTAACAAGAAAACGGATTTAGAGCTACTTCAGAGGCTGCTGTTGAATTTTCCCACGCATAAGCAAAAATAATCACAATTAAAATCTGTGGTAAGGTTAAGGTTAGTTTTGTTTGTTAGTTCAAGTTGACAGAGACGATTACAATAGAGTTGCAGTATGTAAAGTAAATTGTAAGAATAATCGCACAAGATATCTTGCGGCTAGCAATCTCTTGCTGCAAGAGTCTTGCAGTATGTAAAACGGCCTTTATTCTGTCTTTTGTGCGTGGCAGAATTTCGTATCATCCTATATTATTTGACAAGCTTATAAAACGAGTTCAAGAATAATTATTTTAAGCTAGTGTAGCTAGATATTTTTTAATGATTTAAATAAGCATGTGGACCAACTATCACCGCATGATTTCGTCAGGTACAAAACTATTTCAAAATGGACACCTTGGAAGAACAGGAAATTTAAACATGCTCCATATAGAGTTTAATTCGGATATCTTCAGACTAGCATAGACATTTACAATATTTGATGACCTATTGCATGAGAAAAATCCATCCAACTGAAATAAGGGCCCATTGTTTTAGATGCTCCTGTATTTTAGTTTTTGCTTGATAATGATTAGTGATTGCCCTATTCGAAACGTTGTTAGAATTTAATAAAGACAGTACAAATCCAAATTCAGAGTTTTACTCAAGACCATATTTTCTTCTCAAATTTTCAATAAACAAATAGGTAAAATAGCAAAAAAATAATAAATCGAAAATAGCAATATTTTTGCTATTTAAAATAAAAATAAATTCTGCATATACACACTCTGGTTAAACCGGTGTGGTCAGAGGCGGATCCAGGATTCGGGAAAGTTATGAGTTTTAGGTAATGTTATTTACCTAAAACTAGTCTTCCCCTAGGAGATTCAAGGCCTTGTCGTTGGTGGGGAAGCTCCTGGTCAGGTGCTGGGGGAAATCCCCAATAGCGCTTGGCTTGGTCTAAGAAGCATCTTACTCATTGTCTTGTAACTGTAGTGTCGTGGCTAGGGAATTGCACCAAGACATATAACGATGCCGGACGGGGCTACCCCTGTCCGTCATACCAGGTACCCTCTACTGACTGTGGTCATGTCTCGCAAGTAGAGGGTGTGGGGGGGGGTCTTGGCTTAACCGCCTGGACCAAGAGGAGACAACCTCACCAAAAACCTAAATCCTACAATGGCGGGACCAGGTCAAAGGGTTGCGTGGCTAGATAGCGGACTAGCCATTACTGGCCTCAACTTTGGGGCATCAGGAGGCACCCCATTGTATTTACCCGTTACTTCTGCATGCGGGGCTCTGTAGAAGTGGACCGACTATCCATAGCGACTCGTGGGGACACTATGAGATCTAGTATTAAAAACACCACCGGGGAAGCCCCCTAGCGACACTGGGAACATTACAAATGAAAGTTCCAAAGGACCAAATTCAAAGGAAACTACAGGAGGGGTGGCTGACACTTGCTTGGGATCATCCTCAAGTGGCACACAAGCTACCACCTTCTCCAGCCGGCCTGGGTTAACCAGGCGGGCTAGAAGATTCTCTGAGAGTAGGTCTTAGCGGAGCAGAAGCACGGAGAGACCTCCGACTGCTCCACGAAGGACTTGATCCAGAGGAAGCAAAAGCGACAACACTCCTCCGAAAAGGGGAGAGTAAAGAAACCAAGAAATAACCTGACCCATCTCCATCAAAGGGCAAGAGAGGGAGCGAGAACCTCTCACCTCTTCTCCGGCAGGGAAAGAAAAAAGACAGGATGGAAAGCCGTCCAACACCGGGAGGCAAGCAGGGACGTATCACCAGCTTTGCCGCTATTGCTGGACAAGTGGAAATGGCGGTGCTGCCAAAGGATTTCCCAGAGGTTGCTCTGACCACCGACCAGCAAACGTCTCTAGAAGAGTAGTAGATATACTGGACGAAGTAGTGGCGATCGGATCGCAACACAACGATTTACAAAATGTGGGTCAGCTGCGTTTTGCGGGGATACACTTTCGGGTGGGCATGATCTTCATAGATTGTGTATCTCAAGAATTGGCGAATTGGTTGGTGGAAATCGCACCTAAGCTTAAAATTTGGCAAGGGCCGGAACTGATTGCAGTCAAGGGAGAAAACATCCCTAATCATCATCATCGAGTTGGCGAGTCATCACCTCGAGTAAGGAGGGTCATGGTCAGGTCCTCACAATAGGAATTGACCTCAAATTCAAGGAGGCAATAGAGAAAGAGGAACATATCCTCTATTATAGATACGGGACAACACCGGTATCAGGTCTAAGGAGAGACCAAGTTAAAGAGGTGGAGAAAATGGAGACAATAATATATAATACAATTAAATATAATGCTCCAGCCTCCACTTCACGGGTTTCTCAGCCGGAGGCAAGCTCCTCGACTGTGACGAGCGGCACGGAGGGCTAAACTCCAACCGTGGAAGGGTGTGTACCCTCGGAGGAAGAACTGTTGTCAGAGGAGGATGGGAAATACTCTGTCCTCTCTACAACAGGGGTATGATGTGTGATGACTCAAGGAAGGGGGGCACAGTAGATCTTTTAGGTCGCAGTGATTAACCCCCCCTCTTACTCATTCTACATTCTACCTAAAACTAATAGTTTTGTGATATTTCAATTTGTTTAAACAAATGTTATGCCGGGTCCAGACCAAGGCGACAGAAAGTGAACACGATTTTGAGACAAAAACAAGACAAACCCGCGACAAAAATGATAAATTCAGACAAGACAAATTTGAGACAAAAGTGTCTATACCGCGAAGACAAAACTACAACAAAGTTGAGTATATGCGAATCAGTTTTATTAATCATGTGACCTATCGACAAGGAAGAAGTTAAAGGTATATTACTAACAGCAAGTAGTGTTGTCAGCAGACTCAATTAACCTAACAAATCTCCTCTAATGCATCAGTTTTCTTGTAACAATTTTTTGTAGTCTAGTTTTTACGCTCCCATAATAATAAATGCGTTCTATAAAGCTCTATTAGTTTGCAGGTATTTTCCGTGTTCCCTTTTTTCTCTTCTGGAAACGGCATCCAGTTGACTGAAAAATGACGATAGGTGACATTTCCCATATAAAATGACAGCGATCTTAATTTCATAGCCATCGCTGACGCCGTGTTTTTTTATTTATCACAGTACTAATGTCATATATTAGCAGTACCAGCACTCCACAGTAATTTTGTGTGATTTCATTGGTTTCCTACTTTTGGCAACGCACGATATCCACACTGCGCCGACAACTTGTCGTAAAATACACGACAAAACAGAGACTCTTTGACTCTTTACCGACTCAAAACTTTTACTCTTTACCGACTAGAGACGGGACATTTGAAAGTTTCCGAATTTGAAAACAAAACAAAAATGAGACAAAAATGTCGCAAAAATGTATTGGATTTATCGCAACTTTGTCGTAAAACATGCATGTTTCTGTCTTGTCGCTGTTTTGTCTGCTTGTTCTGGACCCGGCTTTAGATTTCAGTGTCGTCAAAAATTGTCAGTCATGCTATTGTTTCTGTTGTTGGAGTAATAAAATTTGTTAGGATCGTTTTATATAAGCGAAAAAAAAAAGATACATGTAAAGATATGTGAGTTGGATGCTACAGCGTGTTTAACATATATTTATGAATTTCGACTATTTAAAATTAAATAATCTCAAATTTTTTGAATAGTAGTACACCCTATGTATTATCATTTTTTCTGATACAATTTACAAATGTTGCGACACTAATATTTTTTTACTCTACGGAAATCTAATATTTCTTTAAACAAATTGAATTATTACAAAATCTATTAATTTTAGATATACAGGGTGGCGCACCTCATTCGCCTCTGTTGATATACGAAAACGGAAAGATGTAGAAACAAAATATTTTATGGGTATTTGTGGGGAGACAATGTGCTCAATTTAAAATTATTTTGAAATATACAGGGTGTTAGTTATACGAAAGTTATATTTTTTCTTATGGAACACCCGGTATTTTATTTAATTTTTGGATTCTTGGGCCCAAAAAAAGGCATTTATTATAAAGATTTAATATGTCCAAAATCTTTGGTTTTTGAGATATTTAAAGATATTTAAATTTGCATCTTACAATAGAATAGATTATTAACACCCTGTACATTACTTTTCAGAATTAATTCTTATGCGGAGTTTAAAGGTAGAGAAATAAACTTTTCTGAAAAATGGCTATCAAAAGTTGCCGATCTATTTTAAGGATGTATTTTATATAAAAACTTCGTTATTTCAAATGCAACACCCTGTATTTTTTAATATAAATCGAAGCAGATTGAAATGCTCTTTCAAACTATGTTAGGGTTTTCTATACCTATCTTGCTCAGATTTTGAATAAAAAACGATTTTTAAATAAAATTGCAATCAAGATGGCTGGTGTCGCCATGGTAATTTTCTAGTGACAGTAACTATTTTCAAAGTCGACATTAGTTTATGGACATTATTATTTATAATTTATAACAGTTTACTTAAATTTACCTACAATAGTTTAATAAGTAAGTATTCATTAAAAAATGTCTATACCTATGTGGTGGATTCATCTCTCCAAAAATATCCTATATGGGTATTTCGCCACTGCACTGCAAGAAAATCTACAAGATAAAATAGTTATTTTTTGTAAACACTTCTGCGTTAAACCTAAACGGACACTGCTTGTCAGAAGTTATGTTTACAGTTATACAAATTTGCCTAAGAAAGCAAAAAATGCTATTTTAAAATAACTATTTTATTTTGTAGATTTCCTTGCAGTGCAGTGGCGAAATACTCATAAAGGATTTTTTTGGTAAGTATTCATTTTTTTAAGAAAAATAAAGCAGTATCTGCTAGCGCGGCGGATCGAATAGATATGTTACTAGTGATTTTATTTTGTGAGGAAAATTGCTTCTTGGCTTCAAGGGCTTATGCTCAAAGATATCCATATAGAAATCTTCCTGATAAAGGTACGCGCACACTGACCAGCGCCGCACTCGTCGCATGCGCCGCACGAATCGCACTTTTTTCTTGTCGCGCACACTGAGCCGCACCGAACGCGCCGCACGCGCCGCATTATTCGCTATTTTGGTTCTTTTTGCCCCTACTACACCCGTATTTGCCAATCGAATTTCTCATCAGTCGCTTCAAGAGTCCTGTCTGCGGTGATAAGCGTGTTTTTTTTAATATTTCTCGACAATGACAACGAACAAGAAATTATAAGCTCCTTGCTAATAGAAGAAGAAGAAATCACGAGAAAGAATCGAAAGTTATAGGTTCACAATATTTGCAAAAATCCACATTATTTCCATATTTAATTGAGGATGAACTAAAACTTTTTTTTTAAAAAGTTACCGAATTGTACCCAGAATCTAATAATAAAATAAAAAATAGGGTATTCCCATTAAAAATATATTAGTTAGTTAATCCCCAACACTTCTGTAAAGTTATATCCCCAACACTTCTGTGAAGTACCCTGTATACCCTACAATTATTTTAAAATGTGCTCCTTAACCTTCCCTATAACTTTTCTGGGTTCTTTTCACTATGATTCAACTTGCTTGTCTCGTGGCAGATTTGCCTCAAAAATGGATAGAAGATGTCTCGCTCTCGTCTCGTCAGATCTGGACGCACCTTTAGACCTACTATAATATTGTAAAATCCTAAAATTAAAAAATTGGCGTTTATCAAGTTTTTCCTTCGACCCTACAATAATTGTTTTTAAAATTTGTTTTATATATATTATATATATATTATATATATTATATATATATATATATATATATATATATATATATATATATATATATATATATATATATATATATATATATATATATATATATATATATATATATTATTATACATATATATTTTTAAAATTTGTGTTTTATATATAGAACATAATTCATTGAAACATACATTTTTGATTAACAAATCACTTTAAATTTCACTAAAATTTTATTGGTTTTTTCAAATACAACTGCTTCCTCAAAAATACTTCTTTAAATTTAGGACAGTCCCTGGACAATATTTCCTAGCAAAATCCAGATATGGTATATCATCGTCGATAGGTATTTTTTTACCGGCACTCAGTTTATTCCATACATGTATTAGGAAACTATTTTTGGTTTTTTCCCTAACATTGGCAAGTTCTTTACTGTCGTAGAAAAGTCCCCAAGCAGGGTAAGGAATGGAATAAAAAGCGTCTGTTGGATATATATGAAAATCTTCACAAGATTTGTCTAAAAAGTCCTTTACGTTGCCATTGCACAGTTTACTTGCAAATCTAAAAGAAAAATAATATACCGGGTGTTGTATCGTCGTTGGAAACATAAGAAATCGCATGCAAATTTTGAACTGGCCAGATATTAGCTCGGTAGAGTTACCAAAATCCGTGTTTTTTTAGAAGGGGATCTTTTTTATGATTCTAAATAATTTTTAAGGTTAGGTTAGGTTAGGCATTTGGTCGCTACCTTAGACAAGGAAATGACCCCCAACAAATCTTGGCAGATAAATTTAAGTTTTATACAACAACTATACATATAGATTTTTTATCACTAGAATTTTTAATTTTTTTGTAGTTTACAATTATTTTACATATTTGATAACAATACTTTGTACATTTTTTTACATGTAAAATATATAAAAAAACGTTTATTGCGGAAATTGTATTTCCCTGATTATAATTCCCTACGCCACTGGTGAAATCCGGTCTGAGTAGCAATATTTATAGTTTCAAACATTAATTATAATACAGGATATTAAAAATACTACTTAGTAATATTAAAAATAGTTTGGTTTGGATGTGGTACTAGACATATTAAAAGCATTTTACTTATTTTTACTGCTATAATGAAAAAAATGTACATTTTATGACCACATAACAAAAGTTGAATATCGATTTTTACCTGTGAAATGTAATTCCAGCCACTTTTTTCTCGCTTCGGTCTTTGCAGCCATACGCTGAACATCTCACCGTACTAAACAACACAGTTTGTAAATTTAAAACAAAACAGTTGTCAGACAAAAAAACATAAAAATTCGCTCGGTGTCACCTCGAAATCTTGTCACCAAAGTATGGCCGCCGATCGAATTTTGGCCTCACTAACCGATCACAGGAGAATATGCGTGTTACCCGTCCCCTCTCTTTCCTTGTCTAAGGTCGCTACTAATGACTAAAGAATCCATGGACAAATAACACCCGAGAGCAAATTGTGACGATGTCACCACACAGTGCCGTTTTTCTTAACCTAGCTGTGTTTGAAGAGATATTTATATTTTTTGATAAATGTTTTGACTACGCCTATAGTGTATACGGTGGTATCATACTAATTAATTACGAAAAAAACGTTAACAAAAGGTACAAAACTGGTATCGACGTATAGCACACATCAAGTATCTACATATAATATCAGAAAAATAATTATCGAATTTAATAAGAAAACGCAAATTAGGTGGAGCGGACTGTTTATTTACCTATGAAACGTAACTCCTGGCAATTTCTTATCGCTGCTGCTTTTACACTTGAAAACTGAACAACTAATCACTATTGTAATAAAGTTTATACAAAGTTCACTACACACAAACTATTAAAATTCGCTAAAATTGTCGCTGGTGACCAGATGATGACTCATTGTTTGCCATCAGAACAATGGCGTCTAAGGTCACAAATTCTGCTGCAGCCCGTATGTGGGCGTTACATGTCCTTTATATTCTTTAGTCATTGGTCGCTACATTACATTATACCAGTAGAAAAAAATAAAGGTGTAAATAAAAAAATAACATGTTTCCTCTCGGAAACTTTAAGTAACTCCAACGACCAGTGAGGTCTCTACGGATAGAGCTCTATCCGTCATAGACTTAAAATAAAATGAGCTAGTTGAGCTCTACCGGGTGCATCTCAAAAGTGGCTCACCCCTATAACTTTTCTATTTTTGCAGATAAAACAACGAGATTTGGTACGTTAGTATACGATATAAATTAGGATTGATTGACGTATTCAATTGTTTTTGGTCACTTCCTGTTTAACCGGATATGACTACAACTTTTGATTTTTAAATGGCACCCTCCGTATATTTTTACTTTATTTGATAGAAAATGACACTGTGAATAGAATGACATATACAGGGTGGTCCGAACTGTATTCCGGAAACTTCGGTAGCATATTCTGCGAATAAAAATAAATAAAAAAGTTCGTATAAACGTATGTCCTAAAATGCTTATTTTTGGAGATACAGGGTGTAGAAATTTCATTTTTATTTCGATTTTTTCCAAAATTTTTTTTTTTTGCAAATTGGTGTCTGGGAGTTTTTTGACATGAGAAATTTGATTTTCATATCGATATGACTCCTACTTGTAGTTGTGTTTTAACTGTTTTGAAGACTAATACCTTTTCTCTCTCTCGTCCGTACCTGTATAAAACTATAGAGTGAAAAATGTACATTTCCGAGATTTTTTACGTAAAAAATCTCTTGATAAAAATCGCTACGAGCAACCGTTCTCAAGATATTTAGAATGAAAATAGTCAACATATTATTGACAAAATAAACACGTTGAGTAGATAGCAATGAGGTTATATACAGGGAGACGCTATGAGCATTTAAAGTGCTTGCGAAAAATGGTAACACTAGGCGTGGCTTAAGCCAGCACCAATATGGCGGGATTAGCAGGGCCGGATTACAGAAACTTCTTTGAAAAATTTTATTTTACACAATATGACGACCTCAACTTTTTAAATAAAAAATTAATTAATCAAAATAACTACAAAACCTACAATTTTTTCAAAAATATAAATTACAAGATTAATTTTAATGACTATATACTATGTATATTTAAGGAGTAAACACAAAAAAATAATACACATTAAATAAATTAAATTTTATTGCTCACTAAATAACACTGTTTTGTTGCTAGTATGTCTTAAACTAATTGCCTTGTTTTTATTGATGTATCTAACAATAATAACCTTAACATTTTAAAAAAAAATTAGAAAAAAGCGGAAAATAATTAAACAAGATTACTGATTTACCATAATTAACATTTTGATAATCATTAAAATTTAGAAATCTTAGGAAATGATTATTTCTTTGAGATATTTTATTGAGATGTTCTGTCAAAACAGCTATCAGAAAAATGTTTCGAGCATAGAACACTACCTGATGTAGCTTGCCAGTTTCTCCTGTTCAGAAACTTCACCTAAGCTTCTCGACGGATGGGATTTTTGAAACCTAAAAATCAAATTTAATATAATATTTATTTGATAAAAATTTTCTAAAGAGAGCAAAATTTATATACTACGTACTAAATTTAAAATGTTCTGATATAAAATTTTATTAAAATAATAAATGTTTATCAATAAATATAAGTTGTTAAGACTTTATCTGCAAAAAGTAAATTTACTTTGTTGATTTTATAATATTTATCTAAAAATTGAAGCTATACTATATAAAGTTTGTACATAGTATATGCTAGCAGATGCTAAAAAGGAATGTAAATAAATGTTTAAGTACAAAATCTTAGTGTAAAAATAGAAAAATAAACCGTAGTTAAAACAAAACTTTTAAATTTGGCCTAGCCAAATACTCTTTCCTGTCAAAAAAAGTATATGTAGAAAAATAACAGATATTGTTAAGAATTTTTTTTAAAGAATAGAAGTCGAGGCATGTTTTAATTACTTAATTGCCTCTAACAAAGTATTAAATAACTAAACACTTTGTCAATATAGAAACACTTAATATTTAATTAATAAACGCATAACTAGTTAAATGGAAAATACGAAAATAATTTAATCAGGTCCTGTATTATGTTTACACTTACCTGTGATTCAACACCAATTTCAGTGGATTTCTTCCTCTCTACACGTTGTCGACTGCAACAACTACTTACAGCACACGAAGACATGTTCGGAAAGTCCAAATATTCAAATAAAAACACAAAAATAGTCTTGGAAAATTAAAAAAACACTCGCAGCAACGCACTTAACCTCAAAAACTGAACTGTCAGAATTGCCAGTACCAATATGGCGTAACTGGGTACATTTCTCGATAGCTTATGTCGCCTCCCCCCCTTATAACCTCATTGGTAGATAGTTACTGGACTGAAATAATAGATTTGGAAATTTTTTATTTTTTAAATTAATCATAAACTTTTCTGCGAAAAAGTGGTGATAAAAGAGTTCCTGTTGAACTTTTGGCACAAAAACATTTCAAATTTATGATTCCAGTCTAATAACTATTTAGTCGACATGTTTAATTTGTCAGTTATGATAGGTATTATTGATAATTTCGATTCCAAATATCTCGAGAACCATTAAGGTGCGTATTCATTATCCGCACGAACGAACGAACGAACGAACGAATGTTCGCTAGTGGTATGGACGGGGACCGCACGATAGAACCGCACGAGATGACCGCACGCATTTTTTCATTCGCGCGCCAAATCAAATCGTCAAGATATTGTTATAAACCTGTTTTTTTTGTTTATATACCGTCATTGAATTATCGCTAAGCAATTTACTATGGAGCAGTGCATAAGGAGTCGGGCTAGGAAGCGAGAGACCGGAGTTCGAATCTCGGCCGGAACATCACTTTTTTTTTAAATACTGTTGTATTCTATAGTTTATTTTTGTAGTATAAGAAAAAGAACTATTTATTCTGTTATTTTTTAATCTCCGTTATTAATATAAATTGATTGTTAGTACAATACCTCATTTAATATAAAATAATATTCTACTTTTTGAAATGTATCGGGCCCTAATTGTACCTAAAAGTAATATATTTTTAGTGATATACCATATTGTAAACTATTTAATATTTTAGTCACTTAAAAAGTTAATTTGCATTGAATAATTGCCTACCATTAAAGGAAATTTGAGCTATATAATCCTTGATGGGCATATTCTGGGTATGCAAATACTTCCTTTAAATTTTGGGTGTCGTTCAACCGATTTATTCTCAAAACCAGAAACTTCTACATATAAAAAGAAGCAGAGGTCACTAATTATAATAAACTTCACCCTTGGTATTACTTCCACTAATTATAATAAACTTCACCCTTAGAATTACTTCTATCACAATTACAATACGTTCATCTGCATTGGCATTTTCTACTTTTCGATGGGAAACAATAAACTTCCCAATATTTTTTAAATGATGTAACAATTCCTCTTGTGGTTACTTTTCCATAGATATCCTCAACTCTGTCCTCATGTGAATTCAGAGGCAATGAAAATGAAAATTATTTACCATAAACATCGCAAACTAAAAACCTAATAAACAATTTTATACCGAATATAGAAATAAATTCAGTATTCTTACCTATCGTCCAAATCCATGTTAATAGATAATTATTATTTTTAAATATATTTTTGGAACTGCTGGTTTTAGTAATTATTAAATTAAACGAACTAAAAAGTCTTAAAATAAACAATTCTTAACCATAACCCCAAAAATTGCAGATCTCCTGTCAACTTTCTTTATTTTTTATTTATTCATTATTTTCCTAGTGACGTCACAGGTGGTATGCGCGAACTGAACGAAATTGGAGCCGCTATCGATCATACCTTGTATTCTTTTACCATGACGTCTAAACGCCTTTGATGTACCGACTCGAAGCGGATGGTCGAGCGCACGAACGAACGAACGGCCGCATGCGTTCGGTCCCCGTCTAAATATACCGCACTTTCATTCGTTCGTTCGTTCGTTCGTTCGTTCGTTCGGATAATGAATACGCACCTTAAATCTGAAAGCGCACGCAGGCGAACGCCTTTGATGTACCGACTCGAAGCGGATGGTCGAAAGCACGACCGAACGAACGGCCGCATGCGTTCGGTCCCCGTCTTAATATACCGCACTTTCATTCGTTCGTTCGTTCGTTCGTTCGTTCGGATAATGAATACGCACCTTTTACTCGTAGCGATTTTTACCAAGAGACATTTTTTACGTAAAAAACTTCGTAAAAGTATATTTTTTTACTCAGTAGTTTCATACAGGTACGGACGAAAAGTTATTACTTTTTAAATCAGTTAAAACATATGTCGGTGGCGCCCTCTACAAATAAGAGTCATAATGACATCAAAATCAAATTTCTCATGTCAAAAAACTCCCAGACGCCAATTTTCATCGTAATATTGTTGTTACTTCACGAAGTATTTGGAAAAAAATGGAAATAAGAATGAAACTTCTACACCCTGTATCTCCGAAACTAAGCATTTCAGGACATACATTTATACGAACTTTTTTACTTATTTTTATCTGCAGAATATGCTGCCGAAGTTTCCGGAATACAATTCGGACCACCCATATGTCAATTTTTGACATTATCGTTTAAACATCGTATTTTAATATTCAATCTAGAGTGTCATGGCTTTGTTAAAAACACTAATTTTTAATTAAGGAGCCTTGGAAAAATAGATTTGATCATCTAATGTTTTTCGTGTCTGGTCCTGGTCGGTTAAAAGATGCCCAAATCGTTCTTTTAATCATATTTCATTTTTTTCAAATGGAACAAGGGTGGCTCATTAGCATATTTGGGAAAAGCATTTTTTACGAATAATTTGGTACCACACACTTGGTATTTCGAGTCAAATTTTCGTTATGAACCGCACGTCACAATTTTATATAAAGAATTTTCGCATAAATGTCAAAAGATAAATCATTCTATTCAGAATGTGATTTTCTATCGAATAAAATAAAAATATACCGAGGGTGCTATTTAACAATCAAAAGTTGTATTCATTTCCGGTGAAACAGGAAGTGACAAATAAAAACAATTGAATACGTCAATCAGTCCTAATTTATGTCATATAATAATATACCAAATCTCGTTTTTTTTTATCTGAAAAAGTAAAAAGTTATAGGGACCAGCCACTTTTGAGACGCATGCACCCTGTATATTCGCTCTATCTACAGGGTTGTTCACCACATACGACACGGAATATTGTAGCTAAACGATTAGATTTTTATAAATTGTAAGTTTTGGGTTAGTTGAAGGACTATTAGAGTTACAATTTAAAAATATTTTTACAAGATACAGAGTGTCCCAAATAAATAAAAAATATCAAAGTTGTATTTCTTTAAATGGAACACCCTGTATATTATTACATTTTTAGTTTCTACGATTAAAATAAAGGTAAATTTGATGAAGGTTTATTACACTTAAACCTTACCGTTTTTGAAATATTTTCAATTTTGTGAAATTGCAGTATAAATTTTAAGGCTTCATTTTTCCGAGGGTATCAAAGTTTTTAATACTAAATATTTACTGAAGTTTATTTATTGATCAGTTGTTGTGTTGCAATAATAAAAATTTTACTACCTTATACAGAGTGTCTAAATATTTATTTTAAATAATTATTAGATTTAAACGGCAATAACTTGTTTAATTTAAATGGAACACCCTGTATATTTTATGAGAGTCAGATGCACAATTTAATTGTCTATCAAATTGTATTATACCATTTTTTACCTATCTCTTCAAGTTTCCGTAGAACATGCATTTTCTTGTAATTTAGAACTCATTTATCAATATACCCATGGAATACTGACATTTTAGATTATTTTTAAACATGTACCAAATTTTTAAAGAGTACAGATACTAATATTGTCGATATAGTTCGTAGATTTCATTAAAAAATAAAAAAAAACTGTTTAAATATTTGTTAAAGAGGACCAATTAATATGATTCCAGTATTCAAACTACATTAATTGACTGTTAGTGTTGATTAATAATAATTGCTCCAAATACTAAAAAACTGAATTATGTATGTGTATTAGACAGTGTGGTAAAAAACTAACACCTTAAAAATGATATTTCATTTTTTGACAAATGCTTATTTATAACAATAGAGACGTTCATTTTCATTCGTTTTTGATTCAAATCCACATTTATTTAGAATAGTTTATTAACATTAATTTATTATTAACATAATTAATAATTATTTCGAATAATTTATGAACAGAATTAAGTATGTAATTAATTAGTATTTGGGCGGAAATACTGGTGGTATATTTAATTAATGGTATACTCTTTTATAAAGATTTAAATAGTTTTCTTTTTGCATACAAATGGGCTAGTAATATTATCGTTTTACTAAAAACGATAATATTACTAGCCTGTGCATTTTGTACATTGGTTGTTTTAAAAACAATCTAAAATGTCAATATTCCATGGGTATATTGATAAATGAGGTCTAAATTATGAGAAAATGCATTTTCTACGAAAACTTGAAGGGATAGGTAAAAAGTGGTATAATACAATTTGATAGACAATTAAGTTGTGCATCTGATTTTCATAAAATATACAGGGTGTTCCATTTAAATTAAACAAGTTATTGCCGTTTAAAGCTAAAAATTATTTAAAATAAATTTTTAGACACTCTGTATAAGGTAGTATAATTTTTATTATTGCAACACAATAACTGGTCAATAAATAAACTTCAGTAAATATTTAGTATTAAAAACTTTGATACCCTCGGAGAAATGAAGCCTTAAAATTTATACTGCAATTTCGCAAAATTGAAAATATTTCAAAAAAGGTAAGGTTTAAGTGTAATAAACCTTAATCAAATTTACCTTTATTTTAATCGTAGAAACTAAAAATGCAATAATATACAGGGTGTTCCATTTAAAAAAATACAACTTTGATATTTTTTATTTATTTGGGACAGTCTGTATCTTGTAAAGATATTTTTAAATTGTAGCTCTAATAGTCCTTCAACGAACTCAAAACTTATACTTTGTAAAAATCTAATCGTTTAGCTACCATTCTCCGTGTCATATGTGGTGAACAACCCTGTATAATGTGTTTTGAAAATGCATAGTTTCCGAAATACCTACTATTTAATTTTAAAGATTTCAATGTCGATTTTCTGGATATACCCCTTTGAAAAGAATCGATTTTTTTATTTATTAACTTTTTCCGCTTTTTTTCACCTGGTACGGTTAGAAGACGTTAATGTAAGAATTCTTAATGCAATTTCGCCCTCTTTCTAGGTTATGTTGTATGTATTGTATTTTACAAAAATTGCCAAAATTTAAAAAATAGTTTTCAATTATTATTTTTCTCAACCAGTATGTACTTTTTGCCAAACTGTGTATACTAAAAAACTTAACATATCAATCTCCATCGATCCACGCCCAAAAATCTTTCAAATCGGAATAAGTAAAAAAACTTGATTTTGGCCGGGAAAATTTGTGAAGTTTCGAGTTTAAATGGGGCGATTATAGAGATACACTATCCGTAGAGGCTTCACTGGTCGTTTAACTACTTATTGTTTCCGAGATATTTGCGTTTTTCGATTTTGACAAAATGTCAACTTTACATCGTTTTCTATGAGTCCTTATGAAAACGTAAGAAACGAAAAATAGGCCATGGGAGGGTGCCATCGAGCTTTTGTCACTTATTCCGATTTGAAAGAGTTTTGGGCTTGAATCGTTGCCGATTGCAGATCTATTTTAGTTTGATTAGGTTTGTCAAAAAAAGTACATAGAGAATGAAAAAAAAAATAGAAACCGATCTTTCCATTTTCGGCAATTTTTTTAAATACAAAGGGGATCAAATTGCATTTAGAATTTCTACATTAACGTCTTTTAACCATACCAGGTGAAAAAGACCTCCACTAGCTCTATCCGTGGTCTGCGTATGCTGAATACACATACCAAATTTGAACAATTTTGGACCAACATGCATCTATATTTTAATTAAAACTGAATAGGTAACAATGCATATTTTTTGGTAAAATAGGCAAAAATATAATGTGATTTTTAAAAGTTATTTGTTAAAAATACTATAATGTATCTATATTATTTTTTTTTTAATTTTCCAGTGCATAGAGTAGTTTTTGTAAAAATCTACAACTACAAACTCACACAGTCGCACAACTTTTCTTCTTAATATTTTTCTTCAACTTCTTACTCACCTTGTGATAATGTGAGGACCGTTTGCACCCCAAACATCTCCATTAAAGTGTTCAGCCAAATCATAAACGCAAGAGTTGACATATTGATGCCCTATCCCATTACTACTAAACCCCATCACTCCACTTGCTATGCTCTCGGATTCCTGTGCTCCTGCAAAGTTTTTACTGATAGTCTCCAAATTTTTCATTACTATTACGTCGAGATCCATGTATATTCCTCCATATTTCCATAGCGTTAAATATCTAAATGCATAAAAATATAAAATTGTAGCCTATACAAGTTGTGAAACAAATCAAAAAGTCTAGATCATGAGATGTATGGTAGAAAGTTGACTTTGATGTTAGTTTTTTTCTAAAGTTTTTCCAACAAGAAAGAAGACAGAGTTGCAACAAGTCAGTTTCAAAAAGACCTAGATCTAAAGCTTTAAGTCATTTCTAAAATCAAAATGATTTAAAATTTAAGTTAATTTCAACATAAAGTTTAAATTATTTAAATTTCAAGTCTTTAACTTAAATTATATCTTCAATTTCTTTCATATAAAGTCATTTTCGTAAAGACTTAAATGGATATAATGGAATTTAAGTAATTTTTATGACTTAAGTATATATTTTAATTTAAATCATGATGATCTGCGAGGGAAGTCGGCAAAATGACTTAAACCAAAATAATTACCGTCAAGTCAACATAACCAATATTCATTTTTAATTTAAGTACCTATTTTTTAATGTTAATATAAATGTTCTTGTATTACCGATTGCCTATTTCCTTATTACCTATATTATTAATTTATTGTAGGTACAAATGAGACTAAAACCACATTAAATAAAACGGTCTTGTTTTGTTTAATCGGTCAAATTTTGTTTTTCAAAAGTGGTGATATGTTTTGATCACTATGTAATATGTCGGCGGCATAAGCTAAGGCCCGTATATATAGTTGCGTCTCGAGACGCCAAGACGGTCTTGGGCTCTTGAGAGCGGAATCCACAGAATACACGAGCAAACGTCATTTTGGAGATTGCGATTTTCATTTTGGAGATTGTCATGTTGGATAGTTTATGTGATCTGTGGATAGTTTCTTAACCTAACTTTTTTAGTAAACAAAATAAATCTTTTGTAAATCCGTTTTGTCTGATTAAACAGTTTTAAATATGTTAGATGAGTTTGAGAATATTTTGGACCATGTGGAAGAAGAAAATCGTCTTCGAGTTCCAAAACGATATATAAGGGATGCAGGAAATCCAATAGAAATGTTGCGAGGGGAATTTAAATACCGATATAGGTTTAGCAAGGCTACAATTGCAGAGAATATTTTACCTCTTGTAATTGAGGACTTGCAAAAACCTACCAATCGTGGTTTACCTATTCCCCCGTTATTCAATTATTAATTTGTTTACGGTTTTATGCGACTTCTAATTTTCAGATAGTAAGTGGAGACTTGCATGGTGTTAGCCAACCTACAATAAGCCAGATTATCAAGAGGGTGTCCATTTTAATAGCAGAACATTTGAGTGAATTTGTGTGATACAACCATAAATGGTTGAACAGCATTATTATTCCAATGATACTGGCTTCAGCTTGTGCAGATGATGACAACAAATGGGATACATATATTAAGAATATAGAAAGAGCTATAAATACATCTGTGAATAAATTCACTGGCGAAAAAAACACCTGAATTATTATATGGATATATTCCGAGGATTGAAGATTTATTTGAAGATGGACAAGTGAGGTTATTGGCAGTAGAGGATGAAAAGTACTCGATTACCTGAAAAATTGAGAGAAGAGGTCAAAGAACATATAGAAATGGAACAAAGGAAGTATAAAAAAATTTATAGGCTAGCAGACTAGCAAAAAAAGAAAAGAGAAGAATGTCATCTAGACGACAAGAAATAAGGAAGCAGTAAAAACGCAATAATCATAGAATGTGTATTGTGAAATATTATTTGAAATAAAACTATAAAACATGGAGTATCGACTTTATATAGAGTGGTCAACTCAATAAGAATACAGAATTCACCAAGCAATAAAATCTTGAAAATTATAGGTATACAGTGTATACATCCAATATTGTATATTATTTGATATGATATTTATGTAAATATTCATGATGAAAATAAAAAGACAATTTTTTAGTTCTAATGTATTAGTGGGAAAATTCTGTGTAACCAGTTAAAACAAGCACTTAGCTGTCTGGTCATAGTGAGCATAAAACAACTAAGAAATCATATATTATTTAAGTATAGAAAAACAGTATTTTTAAGATAACTAATAGACTATAAAAAATTACTTAAAATATGTTACATGTAAATATATAAACACTAATAGAAAAGTAAATAAAATTATTATATAGGTACTAGTTACCTTGGAACATCACTTAACATATTACATAATTACTAGATATACATATGTCAATACAATAAATACATTAATTTGCAAAATGTTGAATAAGATTTCTTCAAAAATCTAACCCTCTTCCTTTTTATTTATAATTGGAATGTGTAAATTAGCATCTTCAAAATTATCTAAATTTTCCCTTAAACCAATATGAAGAACAGCTGTTGCACACATAATAGCAACAGTTGTTTTGTAAACCTCGGAGACATGGAAGATGTTTTTTCCAAGTCCCAAATAGCCTTTCACATTTCGCATTCTTCTATGGGCAAAGTTATACCCGGTTTCTTGTTGATTACCTAGCTGTAGAACAGGAGTCAATAGAAATGGCCTACATCTATATGCATTATCTCCAAGAAGTAAACCAGGAATATCACGCCTTTCCATTAGCATTCTTAATTACTTCGATCGAATATAACACCTTGACCCTGGATATCCAACTATAATATCCATAATTTCCCTTTTGGGACCTGAACATTTAGACTAAAAAAACGTTTGCGATTTTGAAATACTTCCACATTATTGCATTATTCTTGATTATCTGGCTTATTGTTGGTTGGCTAACACCACACAAATCTTCATCTACCATCTGAAAATTACAATTCGCATAGTATTCATCAGTCATCATAGTAATTGAATAACGGGGAGAATGGGTAAACCACGATTGGTAGGTTTTTACAAGTCTTCAATTTATAAGAGGTAAAATAGTTTCTGTAATTGTAGCCTTGTTAAACCTATATCGGCATAAATCCCCTCTCGCTAAACATTTCTATTGGATTTCCTGCATCCCGTATATATCTTTTTGGAACTCGAAGACGATTTTCTTCTTCCACATGGTCCAAAATATCCTCAAACTCTTCTAACATATTCAAAACTGTTTAATCAGACAAAACGGATTTACTTTGTTTACTAAAAAAATTAGGCTAAGAAACTATCCACAGATCACATAAACTATCCAAAAAGACAATCTCCAAAATGAAAATCGCAATCTCCAAAATGACGTTTGCTCGTGTATTCTGTGGATTCCGCTCTCAAGAGCCCAAGACCGTCTTGGCGTCTCGAGACGCAACTATAAATACGGGGCCTAAGAGGGCAGGAGAATAGAATAAGTCTTTTATAAAACCAAATCAGATTCTTTTTCTATTTGGGAATAAAGGTTAAAACCATAAATCATCTTGAAAATTACTAAAATTTTAAGCCTTAAGTCAGCAAAGAAAATGAATCAAATGACTTAAGCCATTAAAATGATTTAAATCACAAAAAACCTTAAGTTTTCTGTGAGCTCGCAGCTCTGAAAGGGGATGATTTCGACAGTTGTCAAATCAGACAATATCAAAAAATATCCAGTATGATCGAAAAAAAAACGGTGTTAAATGCTGGGGAATGACAATCGATGATAATTTTGGAGTGGTCAATCTCTAGACGTCTACTAAAAATCGATATAAAACTTATCAAAAATTAAAACTAATGGTAGAAGGATTAAACAAGGATAAAACATTACCAGACAGATAAATTTATTTCCAAAAAATTATTTTTTCTCGAATTTTAAACTACTATCTACACCATTTAAAAATCATTTTTAATCAATACTAGGTGCGTCTCAAAAGTGGCGGCTCACACCTATAACTTTTTTATTTTTTCAGATAAAAATACGAGAAGTGGTATGTTAGTATCAGTGGCGCATCCAGAGATTGTATCTGGGAGGGGTAGTGGAAATATTTAAATAAAGTAATAGATTTAAATTAAATTTTCGCTCAAACTTATTGTGACCATAAAAAAATAAACTTATATTGTTCTGGATTTCTATTTTGATTGTTATTATTAATTTAAAAAAGAAGAAAAAGATTAAACGGCTCAGCCCTCAACAACTCGTAACCGTATACTATTATATTTGCTTCCTGGGATCGGTTTCATCGCTTCCGGATTCCTTACCGTACTGATGAAGCCTGAAGGCAGTTACATCAGTGTACACTAGTGTAGGTGTGGTTCTGTGAGTGTGTGAGTGTACGTGTCTGCACTGGTGTACACTGGTGTATACGGTTACGAGTTGTTGAGGACTGAGCCGTTTAATCTTTTTCTTCTTTTTTAAACATTTCCCTCACTATTTCTTTCTTGTTCATTATTAATTTATTTTGTGACAATTTTAATTATACCAAATTTTCCTATTTATAAATTTCTTTCTGGTAGGGGTAATTACCCCCATTACCCCTCCCGTATATGCGCCCCTGGTTAGTATATGATATAAATTAGGATTGATTGACATATCCAATTGTGTTTGGTCACTTCCTGTTTCACCGGAAATGATTACTTGATAGAAAATGATATTCTGAATAGAATTACATATCATATGTCAACTTTTGACATTCTCGCTTAATAAAAAATTGTATTTTAAAATTCAATCTAGAGTGCCATGGTTATGTTAAAAAAGCTAATTCTTAATCAAGAAAAGCATTGGAAAAATAGATTTGATAGTCTACTGTTTTTTTGTCTTCTCTTGGCCAGTTAGAAGATGCTCAAATCGTATTTTCAATCATATCTCAATTTTTGGCTATGTTAAAAACACTAATTCTTAATTAAGGAGCCTTGGAAAAATAATAGATTTGATCGTCTAATGTTTTCAGTGTCTTGTCCTGGACGGTTAAAAGATGCTCAAATCGTATTTTCAATCATATCTCAATTTTTTCAAATAAAACAAGGGTGGCTCAATAGCATATTATAGGTTATTAATTAGCATAAGACATGTTGTTTTCACCCTAACAATCGTCTGGCATCGACGAATTTAACCATTATTTTTTCCAGCAGGCAGCAAATATTAGTTCGAGAATTTAAAAAGATCTGCGAAAATCTTGATTTACCAATCCATCAAGACGTAATAAGATTCAACCGGTTAAAATAGAAAACCACCTGTTAAAACAGCCAAAAAGCATATTACTGATTACTTTAACGGACATCACGAATGGATCTCGAACTGGCAGAGCAGTGTAAGCTCAGTTTGGTATACACTGCTAGACGTAGAAAATCCTCCAAAGGGTTTTAACATGCCCCGTAAAACCTGGGTTCGGCTAAACGGGATTCGGACTGACCATGGTAGAAGCGGCTCGGCTTTACACCCAAATGGGGAATGCGCATGAGTCCAGAATGTGATTGCGGTGTTACTTCTCAAACAATGCAGCACATAATCTACGAGTGTCCGATGACAGCCTTTTCTATTTCTTGCACGCAACACCTCAGGCAATCCAATGGATTAACCAGCTAAATATGGAGCTGTCAGAAATTACGTATACATACCTATTTACTTTTTTATGTTTGTATATTGATCTACTGTTTTTTTTTGTCTATCTATTTACATGTTTATACATTTAGTGTTTCAGTGATGGTGTTGTATTTTGTTTGGTCAATGCCATAAGCTAAATAAATAAATAAAAATAAATTAGCATATTTGGAAAAAGCATTTTTTACGAATAATTTGATACCATACACTTGGAATTTCGAGTCAAATTTTCGTTACGAACCGCAAGTTATAATTTCAAATAAACCATATTATGCGAAAATGTCAGAGTGTTATTTTCTAGCGAATAAAATAAAAAAATACCGAGGGGGCCATTTCAAAAACAAAAGTTGTAGTCATTTCCGGTGAAACAGGAAGCGACCGAAAACAATCGAATACGTCAATCGATCCTAATTTATGTCATAGACTAACATACCAAATTTCGTTTTGTTAACTAAAAAAATAAAAAAGTTATAGGGGTGAGCCACTTTAGAGACGCACCCGCTATAAAAATAAAACACAACCTTCTTACGGTCAACTGGCAGTAAGCGCCATTAAAAATAAAGAAGAGTACTGGCCAAGTAAACGACATCTAGGGTTTGACGTCGCCAAAACTATCATCGACTCTTATTTCCCAACCGTCTTTGACGACGTTTTTTTTTCGATCGTATCGGACCAAGAGGCTATATATTAATAATATAATTTCATTACCTTAAAATGTCACTCATGTGCGGTAAAATATGTTGAGATTTAAATATTTTTTCACTAGTCCATAGTTTTTCAACCGGTGTTCCTTGGACGAACTTTTTCATATTGATATATTTTAATTTGACGTTAGGATATGACATTAAGTTCCGGATTAGTCCATCCGATTCACTTTGGTCATCTTGAAACTTACCTAAGGTTAAATAATATTTGTCTAAAGGATATAAATACACTCACCGGCAAAAAAAAACCGGCCACTAAGAACTAAACTGTATTCAAATTCAAAAAGCACCAGTATAAACAAATGCACTGTGCGTGATCAGCGGCGAAATCTACCTTGATTGGCCGGCCAGCCATAGAGCCGTTGAGGTGGGGCGGTTGAGATTTTTTTACAGGGTCGGCTTGCATAGCGCGTTAAGGAATACTGTTTGATAAAATAAAGCGAGTAACATCAGAACGGTCAACTATTTCAATAATAATTGTTGATCACTTCGTACAAGTTACAAGTTACAAATAGAGAAAATAATATTTATGTTTGCATAAAATATTTTTACAATTAGTACACACGTACCTACTACAAAAAGTCAAAAGTTATATATTTTATATAAAATTATTATTTTGTAAATGTTAATGTAATGTTTGTAATCACCCGAAAAAATTCAAATATTTGTCTCTCTCATTACATAGGAGAGAGAAAGAAGAATATATGAAATGTCAAACTTCCATCTGGTCTCAATTTTCTTTGTTATTTTGTTAAGAAAAGTATTTTTCAGTAAAATTTTGGACATTTTTCAATCCTCAATCAAGTGTGGCTTTTAGATAAACTATGATGTAATAAAAATATAGTAAAATTCTTACTTTATAGGGCTGAAATAAAGAAAAATTCAATGTTGAATTATTTTCCGTTTTTCTGAAAAACGGTAAGAGACCGCTGGTTGGTTAGGTTTGGTCAGATTCGTAATCTACGACCTCAAAATAGGGTGTATACCAATTTTGGTGAAAATAGGACGATTTCCAGTTTTCCCAATAATTACCCATTTATATAATATAAATTTCTATCATAAAATATAAACAATAGTAAAAAAATCTTAAAAATATACATAATAATTTTATGATTTGAAATATCCAACCTTAGTGCGGTCCTGGTTATATTACTACAGCGTTCCTGTTCACGTGCTTGCCTCATGTCTCTGTTTACGTTTGATGCATCTTGGGGTTGAATTTACTATAGTCCCAATTACAAAGTTGGATTTCTCGCAAACCACTCATTACATTTTGATGTATTTTTTTTTTAATTGTAAATTAGTTCCTTCTTAATAGATGCTACATCAGAAATTTCTATTCCGAATTTATTTTGAGCATATACAGAGCACAACAATAAGACGAAGGTTTTTGCCCGAACTTTGTAACACCCTGTAGGGTGCAGCAGCTGTTGTAGTTATAATCAAATCACATTGCAGCCTCGTCTTTTGTGATCATTTTGTTTTTTTAATCACGACATTATCTCTGTTTGTATTGGAGATACGCTGCTTTAAAACAAACGCCTCGAAAAAAGATTTAGTCCATAACTCAATATCCCAATTCACATGGAAACGCGCAAACTGAAGACGTGCTCGACGATTGGAAGTAGTTGGGGTCCTGTGGCAGGCCTCCTTGCAGACAAGCTGTTTTCTTTTAGTCTTCGTCGGAGTCAGGTGGATGACACTTCTTATGGGAGAACTGGCAATGGTTGAAAACTTGACTACAAGCGATTTTCTAGGAATCTTCCTTACCGATAAATTATTGACAAGAGTGACAGATAAAACCTTGACGTTCTTTCAGTATTACAGTTCATTTCTTTTTCTTTCTAAAGTGTGCGTTGAAAGGAGACAAAAACAATTTTGGTGACCCATAATTTGTTAATCGAATACCACTTTTCTCCTTGTCGGGTCGTTGACGTTGACTTGTCGCCATTTTATTTCTTTTGTTTACAAGCTGCAGTTTGCTTTGCAAATTTAATACATAAATTATTTAGGCAAATATAGGTTTTTGATAAAACTTCTCGAACTAACGTGTAGGTAAGTGTTGATAAATAATTTTTTTTCATCTTAACATGCTCATTGTCATTCTCCTGATTTAGGTGACAGAAAGGACCATCAAATCAAATTGAATTTTATATTTTTTCATCTCAGGACCGATAGTAAAATATATATTTTATGCATACCTTCCTAAATATCAACGAGATGAGCCATCGGAAGAAAGGGACCATAGTACAAAACAGAAAGGTGACCTTTTTTCTTTCCACTTAGGATATTGAAATTATATACTGTCGGCACTCGAGAAATATAGATAAACAAAGAACAACAGATATAAACTATCCCAGAGGAAAAGAGAGGCAATACCTGTACTCTCTCTGACATTTGTGAAAGTTACGGCAAAGTATTGTTGTAAATGTCATCTTTTCGATCGACCTGAAAACTTCGAGCAAAAAGATGACACTTTCAACAATACCCTGACAGATATCAGAGACGATACAGGTTTTTCCTCTCGTTTCCCCTGGAATACTTTTAATTTATTATTCTTTGTTTATCTAGATTTCGCAGAGCACTATGAACGAACTCAGCTTGTATGTTTGAAATAATCGTCCAGTTGACTTAAAAATGATGATCGATGACATTTCCCATATAATTTTACTTTCAAAATTATGATATATATCTTCATTTCTAAGCCATCTATGACGCCATAGTTTTCAGTTTTGTTATAATTAATTTTGTCTCTTGATCTACTTGTAACATTATTCGTTTAATTTTATTAATTTATTGTGGTGAAATTAATTTCTGTTGTATATTTGATATTGATATTAAACATATTTTTAAAAAATGGTGTATTTTTTGTGTTTTTATCTATGTCATAATTAAAAATAAATGAAGAATTAAATTTTTTATTTTTTTTGAATTTCCCGCCATGCGTGACAATCTAGTCTAAAACTAAGTATATTTATGCTACTTTAACAATAAAATTTCACTAAAGGTACCTCAAAATTCTTCTCTTCGTTCAATCTTAGTCCGCGGTTGTTGTTTTTTCTATACCGGGTGCATCTTGAAAGTGACTCACCCCTATAATTCTTTTAATTTTTTAGATAAAAAACGAAATTTGGTATGTTAGTATATGACATAAATTAGGATTGATTGACGTATTCAATTGTTTTTGGTCACTTTCTGTTTCAACGAAAAACTATTGATTTTTAAAAGGTACCGACGCGACGGTAGGTATATTTCTGGTTTATTCGATAGAAAATGACACTCTGAGTAGAATGACGTATCATATGTCAACTTTTGACATTTTTGCTCAAAAAAATCGTATTTTAAATTTCAAGCTAGAGTGCCATGGCTGTGTTAAAAACACTAATTTTTAAACAAGGAGCCTTGGAAAAATGGATTTGATCGTCTAATGTTTTTCGTGTCTTGTCCTGGTGGGTTAAAAAAATGCCCAAATCGTATTTTTAATCATATGCCAATTTTTTCAAATGGAACAAGTGGCTCATTTGCATATTTGGAAAAAAAAAATTACGAATAATTTTGTACCAAACACTTGATATTTCGAGTCAAATTGTTGTTATGGTTCACAACCAAACCGTATGTTACAATTTCAAATAAACCATATTATGCGAAAATGTCAAAAGTTGACATATGATATGTCATTCTATTTAGATTGTCATTTTCTATTGCATAAAGTAGAAATATACCGAGGTTGACATTTAAAAATCAAAAGTTTTATTAATTTCCGGTGAAAGAGGAAGTGATCAAAAACAATTGAATACGTCAGTTAATCCTAATTTATGTCGTATACTAATATACCAAATCTCGTTTTTTCATCAGAAGAAATAAACAAGTTATAAGAGTGAGCCAGTTTTGAGACGCATCCGGTATATAAATGATAAGTATAAGTGATCTTTGAAAACATTACTATTTAGTTGCAAGCAATTGCATTATTTTTCTATAAGAATTTAAGAAAAACTTCTTTTCTTTTTCACAATCAATTATTTCGTGCAGAATCAGTATAATAGGTATGATCAGATACAGTTTTGTCGGCTTTACAATGAGGATCAGCCAGTGTTTGAGGTTTGAGATGAATTAATTTGTCTTGCTTCAATGAGAAATTTCTACGATTCTGCTACCATTTACCATGTATTACTACATATTCAATCCAGAACAATCAAAATTACCAAAAGATTGGTATTTTTCCCACTACTGTTAATAAATTAATGAGGCAATTGTAAGTTTGCCTCACGCTTTTTTTTGATAATGATATCGGGATCCTATTTAGCTTCTTGCGAATTGAATATTTGTTTCATATAATTTTTGGGCAAATCAGCCATTAACAAATAAAGGGTGTGGGTAGTAGACGAAGTGCAATTTTGAGCAACAAGCAGTCTAAAACTCTCAATTTTGCTGGCTCTTGATTATAAAAACAAGAATTATAGAAAGAAGGGTTATTTACAAAAAGTTGATAGCTTTTCAGTTATAAGTAAAATACCACGAACAATTTTTTTTTAAATATTTTAGTTGCTGGCGTGGCGCCCCTCACATCCGGCGCCCCGGGCGGCCGCCCGGATCGCCCGGCCCTTCCGCCGGCACTGCAAGGAATATCTTAATAACCGTTCTACGCACGGCTTGTAGCAGATGTTGATTCTGAAAAGCTGTAATTCTACGATTTCGTAAAGTATTCAGAAAAATAAAGCGGTCGTCAATTGCATTTGTCTTCCGTTTTCTTCCGGAACCCACTCGGCTGGTGAAATTTCCCGTTTCCATATACCGATTCCAGGCATCCTGGACTGTTGTTCGAGGTATACCCAGGGCATCGGACACATAACGTTGACTTCGGCCATCCTCAATTAAAGCCATCACAGATAATGGCATTTTTTTAATTTGACAACCGTTGTTGTCTTATTGCAAATATTCATAAATCCCTTTTCGTCTATGTCGCCTTGATTATTTATACAGTGTGACCCACTCAAGACCGGGCACCCTCCATAAAATCTGTGTTTATAGTCCGATTTTGATGATTTTTTTTTCAAATATAAAGTTTCAAAAAATGTACTTTAGGGCTCAATGTCATGTTATTTCACAAAAAAACAAGGCCTACTTAATAAAGTTTTTGTGGTGAAAAATTTGCAAAATCATATTAGCGATTTTTTTTCAAAAAATTTGAGTA